TATTACAGATATGAGTTTATAAACGTGTTTTGGGGATTTTCACCATATAATTGCATACAATGGATTATTCACTAGACCTCAAAGTCTAACCCTCATTTTGTGTTTCAAAAATGAGCATTACAGGTCGGACACAATCAAAAGTTAGAGAGAAAAAAAAATTGTGAAGTGATAACATTATGCTTGCATGAGATTTTGGGATATCATAATTATTCTTTTGTATCTCGATATTTGTTATGTATTCATACGTAATAGAAATTTTATGGAAAAAGTTGTTAGCTATTTTGTAAAATAGATAGTTTAAGATATTGATACCAAATATGTAAATTATATTTTTAATACATGAAAATATATGTTTATATGCAAATGTGATCTTGGGGTGTTTCAACAAATGGAGTATGTCAAATAAATAGAATTTAAGGAATTTATAATAAAGCCGAATATGATTTGAGACTTTAGACATATGCATTTCATTGACGGCGATTAAAATAGAACTCAGTATTTTTCACTTTTTGTTTGGTTTGAATATCGTAACTTTTGAATTGAAGTGTTAAAAATAATGAATAACAAAATTGCATTTTAATAATAATAATGACACGGTGACTGCGATAATAACAGTCACAATAACAATCGTATCAATAGCAACAACAATAGTAGTTATAGCAATTACGGTAATAAAATAAGTAGCAACGATAACAATATACGCAATAAACACATCCTAAATTATTAATTTAAAATTTTCACTTATAATCTTGAACTTTATTAGACAATTTAAAATAGAAAAATATTATATTCTTTGAGAAAAAGTAGTCTCAGGGGTCGTTTACCAAACACTTACCCGGTAAGCGCTTACCGGTAAAATTTAACACCATCATTTACTTATCGAGTAAGATTTTAATCCACCAAAATAGCATCGTATGCAACAATTTACCCGGTAAGTACTTACCCTGGTAAGAGTCGTCGCTCTCACTTACCGAATAAGACTTTTGGTCCTTGTCTTGCTCTGATCGGATAAGATTCTTGGTCCTTATCTTGCTCTGACCGGATAAGATTCTTGGTCCTTATCTTGCTCTGACCAGATAAGATTCTTGGTCCTTAACATATTCATCCAGTAAAGTAATATAATTTAGTAAACGCTTACCCGGGTAAGCGTTTGATAAACAGTCCCTTAATGTCTATTGAAGTCATGTTTGTTCAAATATCATATTTTCATTGTCTAAAAATCCAACTTTTAACTTGACAAAAAAAGGTTGATCGATAACCATTTAATTAAAAGAAAAATTATAAGGTACGAATCAAAACCCAAAAAATATTTAGGGGTCGTTTACTAAACACTTACTGATATGAAATTAATTTCACTATAACATTCCCGGACATCAATATAGATTATTATAAGCGTATTTAGTATGGCAAACGCTTACTGGATAAGTCTTTTCTTCACTTACCGGATAAGACTCTCAGTCCTTATTATGCTTCTTACCGGTTAAGATATTTGATTCATGACATGCTTAATCAGTAAAATAATTGATATCAGTAAGTACTTATGTGGTAAAACTAAGAGACTGTTCAACAGTTGTCGAATGGTCTGATGCAGAATGATTAAGATGCTCTCATGATATAATGTAAAATAAAATAGATTGTTCAGTAAGTATTTAAAATGGAATTAGGGTGTTGAATGATTAAGAAAGACCTAGGATACAAAATCATTCAGATGATTTTAGAATCATTAAGAGGCGGACCTTTGTTTTGTCAAACAAGATTCACCTCTTAACGATTCAAATGTTGTCTCTTAATGGAACTATTAAAAGGTAAACAAACAATTCCTAATTATTTATGTAAAAATGAATTAACTTTAATTATATTTTATTGTTGATGAATAAATGAGTCAAATTAGAAAACTTAATTAAAAACAAGTCAACTTTGATGTAATGCAACCACCTGCAACCTTTTAATGCTTTATTTATTTAAAAAATAAATAAATAATTTTGAGACCGTACCAAATAAATTAATTAATATTAAATTTAAAAAGAATAAAAAAATATATCAACTAGTCAATCCAATCAAACCTTAATTATATATACTTATTAACTTTGATTGGTTACCTAACCTGTACGACCTACTCATTTGTCACTTATATTTAAAACTTACGAGATTTAAATGATAGAAATAAAAAAAAAACGATTTGAATTTTAAATATCATAAAAAGATAAATTAAAAACATTTAATATATTTTTAAATAATTTATTTTAAATACCTCTTCATAAAAGATTCTTTTTAATTATTTACCAACAGACGTTACTAGATCGTACCATAAACATCAATGAATGCCTTGTCTTATCAGTACGGCCTGTACAAAAAAATTTAAATTACTGGTCGAGCCGGTTACCGGTTGAACCAATCCACCTAATCTCCATGCGCCATCCACTTCCCCACTCGACATAGCTACACTTCTCTTTGCAACTGGGGTGTTTATCTGTATTTTTTTTACTTGTTACCGACTTTAATAATTAAATCAAAATTATATTTTTAAATAATAAGTTTTGAATATTTTTTAAAACCAAAAAATAATATTTAATAAAAAAGAATAAAATGCATAATACAGAGGCAAAAACAGACGAGTAAAAAAATAACTACGAATAAAAGCCTAACAAAACAACGAGCAACTAGAAAAATGAAACAATAAGAAGACAGTCATTTCATCTAATCACTCGGGTTGTTATGTAAATTCGTTCATGAATAATTTGTTAGAAATTCTGGTTTTCGATTGCTTGGATTCCACTTAAAGTCGTGTAACACTTTCATATTGAAGTATTTCGATGGTACAATCGGATAAAATCCAGTGTTTTCGAACAGAGAATCGAAAAAATGTTATGAATCTGTGTACCTTTTCAAAATCAAAATGATCAATTCGAAATTGAATACGAAAACTATCAAAACAACAATTTTTGAACCCTAAACCGGGTTTAAAAAACGGGGCCAAAAATCGGGTTTAAATTTTCAAATTCGGATTTTTGAATCATTTTTTACAAAGCAATATTACGCGAATAAAAAATTTCCAACCTCCCCAGCCAGGGGATCTGCCCTTTGGACCCCGCCACCGGGGCGCTGCCCCGGACCCTCGTCGTTTAGAGGCTTCGCCCCTAAATCAAAATAAACTCAAACAAATGTGCACTTCGCACCTTCCTTACTTGTTCGATATTTATCATAATTACATTAGTCAACAAATTAATCTCACTACACTTAAATGATATTAGTGATACAAATCACCAACATAGTTGAACCTTTTAGTGCCAAGGGCGGACCTATGAAGGCCCCAACGCAGTTCGTGTACCCGTCCAACTTATTTTCGTAAGTATAATTCTTTTTGGTGTATGAAATATGTAGACGTTAAACTTTAAGGAGTGCTTCAAGATATTAGAAAAATACCGGTACATGAGTACATCAATTAACATGTGAATAAGATCCGATGAATTCGCGGATTGAAATTAAATCTTTGACAAAGTATTTGATGACATGCCAAATGAGTGGCGACGAGTCGAATGTCATTACACCAATATATATATGTTCTTCAATTTTTATTTAGTTCTGAAGTGGTTTACTACAATTAGATAGAATAAAAAAATTCAGTTTGGAGCCAACATTACGACACAAGTTGGACTCTGTCAAGATGCTATTTGTTGATATGCAAGTTCGAATGAGTGTCGAGACAAATCAGTACAGGAAACATTTAATGGGAGATGTGGACTGAGAATCCAACTTATCTCTTCCTTAACGTCGGGCCTAATTTGTGTTTTATCATCTATCTCGTTCCTTTGAGTATCTGTAATTTATCTGTGTTCTTGTTTACTATACCTTACAGTGTTAGATAGTTTTTCTTCGTTGTATTACTCTTTTATGCTTTAATAATATACTGTATTTGAAAAAAAAAACTTTATTTATTTTCATAAAGAAAGTTGGGTATGCTTGTGAATGTCATATTTTTTTGGGCATTGTTTTGTAGGGAAGAAAAACAATAAAACCAAAAGTTATTGTGATGTATATAATGATTAAAAATCATAGATTTGTTACTAAATTTCGTGAACATAATCATAAGGGTGGTGTTTGATTGATTTGAGTTTAGTATCCAAATGTTAAAAGTATATGGAGGTCTCAGGTTTGAATCCAAAGAGAAATAAAAATCCCTTTGTGAGCACAAAGATTCAAATGCGGTGACTCCAGGCTACCCACGAAGCATGTGATCGTCCTGAGATTAGTCGGCTCGTATAGCGGGTATCGTGAACATATTCTTAATTTCTTTTATTGTTAGGTAAAATTTTTGTTTGTTTTGTAGAGATGATTATAGTGGAACCAATTTGATCAGATTCATCCGGTAAGGTCATTGTCTCCCTCTTGCCGGGTAAGATTTTTGGTTCTTACCATATTCATCCGTTAAGGTAATGTGACTTGATTAGTCTTACCCGAATAAGCGTTTGGTAAACGACCCATTAATTTAGGACCGAGTAATAATATTAAAGTCCGAAAAAGGACTATTGATGTAGGGGGTGTTTGAGATTGCTTATTTGAAACAACTTATTTTTTTCTAAAAAAACACTTATCAGTTTATTATAAGTCAGAAGGGTTTAACTTCTTCAAAAACTCATTATTACCGGTTTGACACCGATATAAGTTATTTATCCAAACACTCAAAACTGCTTATTACCGGTGTCACACTAAAATAAGTCAATAAATTGTTTTTATAATCAAACTCAAACACCCCAAAACAAATTAAAATATGTTATTATATGAAATATATTTTTATTATATAAAATATACCGACCCTTTAGGATTTATCCACCCGTACACCAAATATAAAATGTTGTGTGTTTGTGAACCACGCCCTTGTGCTGCGCGTCGACAAAAGGAAACAACGAAAAGAAGCAGGCCCCTAACTAAAAAAATCACACTTATACATACACGCTTCCTGTACGTATATATATTTCTCATTTCGTACCATGTTCATCTCCACCATCATCTAAGCACGATAACTAACATAGCAAAGAGAAAAAACCCTAATTTTGACTTTTTTCCTGAATCACCTTCTCTCTTCTACTGATCTCTGTTCTCTGTATCTAACTAAATCAAGAATCCCTTAATGGAGGGAGTAACAAAGGGAAGCAGAGCCGTGCTTGAGGTGGTTGTACTTTCCCTAATTTGCAGTGTTTCGTTGGTCTACGCTGGGGATATAGTCCATCAGGACGATATAGCACCTAAGAGACCTGGATGTGATAATAACTTCGTTCTGGTATGCTTCAGGATCAGTTCAATTTTTAAATAATTATTATTGTCGTTATTTAATTTTTGCTCATGAGGTTTTCATTTGTAGACAAGTTTTTGTACACTAATAGACGCAGATTTGGTCGTTATCTGTTATTATATGCAACTTGGTATTTGAATTTAATTTCGTGTCAGTTTGATACACCAGGATATGTTGTTTGAAAAAGCAATTTATTATTCCCTTTTTGATGTGTTGGAGTTCGATTGAAATGGAAATTTGTTAAATTGTATCCTTACACTCGCGGTTTGATCTTTTTCCTAATGTATTCGGGTGGTTACAATGAAAATTATTAAGCTGTTATATATGATCCATGGTAGAAAGTGGAGCTTATAGTTTGGTCAAGTGTGATCTGGGAATTCTTTCATATTGAAAATTGCCAGTTCAATGTACATGCTGTATGTATATCATGTAGAGGTTTTGCAATATGCAAACTTGATTTTATGATGTAAATCTTATATGGCTATTTAGTTGGGAGGTGTCTATTTACCTCTTTCACAGTTCTTTCAAGGTTTATTGTGTACACCTTAACCAATCTCGTGGCCTTAGCCCTTAGAGATTTCAAAAATGCCAAGCCAGCCTGAAATGCTCAGGAAGGAACTTGGCTACTTGGCTAGAAGATTGACACAAGAACCCCTGAAAGGTTTCTAGGGAGTTTATAGAGAACATGTATGGTCTCCACCAATAAGAACTTCCTAGAACCAAAGGACGTTTGGCCTAGCGGTATGTGAGTCCTTGGCCTCCTAGGAGGTCAAGGGTTCAAGCCTCACCAAAGGTGAGGCGGGTGTGTGAGTTTATTTGTTCTATTTGCCGTATATAAATATTATGTACTTAAAAAAAAGAACTTCCTACAAGAAAAGGTATTTTGGAGCCTAGGAGACTACTAGGTTCATCTTAAAAAATGACCGACTTCTCTACAAGTATCAAGAGTACTCTAGGTTGTTCCTGGTCTCAACGTAACGTAGAACGTTTGGAGAAGAGTACCCTATAAATCCCTACAAAATTCTAGTCCCGTCAATTAGTTATCCTTGTTGAATGCTCCGTGGGCAGTCTAGCAAGCAGCAATTGTGTGTTTGTGGAGCATGAATGTGGCTTAACCCCATGTGAAACATGCAGTCTGCAACAGTTTGCTGTAGGTACCAAACTCAATCCGACTCAAGTAAGCCCTTCAAGCTACTTTATAAAGCACATCGTAAGAAAGCACATCTTTTAATGTATTAACTGTACATCTTGAAACAAATTGTACCTCATGAGTGATGCTTTGGTTCTAAATGTAACTAAGATACAATGAGTGGGTGCTTCTGACTGTCTACATTCTTGAGTGAGTTGCTTTCGTTAAATCAATCTTGAAAGTTGAAACCCGTTTTGTTTGATTTGGTTTGCTTGATATGCAGTTTTTTACTTTTTGTTCCTTCTCATTTTCATCAGAAGTACAACTAATTGTTTATAATATTAATCTATTTTTTGCTTCAATGTCTCTTTTCCCAAATGAGTTTTCTTATCTTGTTTTTTGTTCTTTGCTGATTGTTGCATAACAGGTCAAAGTTCCAACTTGGATTGGTGATAATGAAGAAGAAGAGTTTGTGGGTGTTGGTGCACGATTTGGTCCTACTTTGGAATCAAAGGAGAAGGATGCTAATAAAAGCAGAGTTGCTCTTGCAGACCCTCCTGACTGTTGTAGTACACCTAAAAACAAGGTTCACTTTTCTTCTTATTTGCCCTAGCTCTCTCTCTCAACTCCGACACGTCAGTAGTAAGTGTGAGAATTGGTATTGAAAGCTCTTTGAGTTTGCTACTTATATCAGAACTCAGCATTCGGAGGTCTTGTTGTCTGTAGCTTACTGGTGAAGTTATCCTGGTGCACCGAGGTAACTGCAGTTTTACGGACAAGGCACATGTTGCTGAAGCTGCAGGCGCTTCAGCGATCCTTATTATCAACAACCGTACAGGTACGTGCTTTCACATACCTTTGTTAACTGCAGTTTTCCTCACTTCTTTAATTGTATGTTCAAGGTTTAAATAAAAAATTTCTTATTATCTGGAACCTAACATGATATCCTTCTACAGAACTCTTCAAGATGGTGTGCGAAGCAGATGAATCTGATGTGGATATTCGCATCCCCGCAGTCATGCTTCCACAAGATGCTGGTGCGAGCTTGAAAGAGAGTCTCCAGAATAAGTTAAACGGTAAGTGTAACAATTCTCTATGCTTCTAAATTGGCATGTCTTTGTTTTCGCCTGATACTCTGGGGAAGATTGTCGGTGAGGCTACATGGCAGTTTTGCTAGAGGGAGGTTGAGTATGTGCAATATAACCTTAATTGTTCAATTCTTCTCTTTTTTGTTAAAGATATGCTCTTCTCTCAGTTTCTGTGCAGCTATACTCTCCAAAGCGCCCACTGGTTGATGTTGCGGAGGTGTTTTTGTGGCTTATGGCTGTTGGTACCATATTATGTGCATCTTACTGGTCTGCCTGGAGTGCCCGAGAAGCAGCTATCGAACAGGACAAAATATTAAAGGTCATCCTTAGCTTATTGTAGATCTATCGAACTGCCCCTCAAATAGGGTTTTATCACTTAGAAGAAAAAAACAAATTCTGGCAAGATACTGGCTGAGCCTTAATAGTAATGTTTGTGCCAGGATGCTTCTGATGAATACTTGAATACGGAATCTTCTCGATCAAGTGGTGTGGTGGACATTAACACAACTTCTGCAGTTCTGTTTGTTGTGATTGCATCCTGTTTCTTGGTCATGCTTTACAAGTTGATGTCATACTGGTTTATCGAGGTCCTGGTTGTCCTGTTTGCCATTGGTGGTGTTGAGGTGCATTTTTTGTCACATAATAAGAATATCATATTTGGTTGCTTTGATTGCCATGCTGTTAAAGGATGAGCTTTGCTCTTCTCGTTTTTCAGGGTCTTCAAACTTGTTTGGTGGCTTTATTATCATGGTATGCAAGTTCCTTTTTCTTTATTGTTACTTGTATATGCAAACTTCTAGCTTCCCTAGATACATAACTATAAATCTTACATGGATCACATTATTCACCCAAAAGTTATATAAAGGGTAGATACATACAGTTATGGTCATCATCATCATCATCATATGAATCCGGGTGACACATTGCTACTTGCTAGTGTTTTATGCATATTGTGGTTTACTAAGATGTGAATGTAGAAGTTGCTTCTAATCCTCTTTTGGTGATGGTGGTAAGTGAAGAAAGATGGTCAACAGTACCTGCACAAACTTTTAGTAGTAGTCACCAAATGTACATGTTGTAAAGCACATGGTACAACATTTTATTCAGTATTTGAATAACGACTGCCGAGGATTTTGTGTCAACTCCTCCAGTAGTAATACCAATACTAACAATGACAGAATTGGTGGCTATGGTATCTATAATTGGGCTGATAATGGTGACTGCTGTTGTGATGCCAGTATTGGTGATATTATTACTGAAGTATGTTTCTCGGTGACTGTAGTGTGTCCCTTGTCAATTACATGGAGTTTAAATCAGTAATAACTTCTCATGAAATGTCCATATAAGTCTGTAGTCTGAACTAACAATAACATATTGCAGTTTCAGATGGTTTGAACATCCTGCAGAAACATTCGTCAAGGTTCCATTTTTAGGAGCTGTGTCATATTTGACCCTGGGTGTTTCTCCATTCTGCATAGTGTTCGCTGTTGTATGGGCTGTTTATCGCAAGATCTCCTTTGCTTGGATAGGTCAAGATATACTTGTAAGATCATTGTTTCTTATATAATTTTCATTGTCTTCTACTGTTCTCATTATTCTGTTCAGCAAAATAATTGTCTTTCTGGAAGACGTGGGAAACCACGCCCGAGAGGTTGAAAATTTACCGACTGCTCATTAACGCATCCCTTTTAATTCACTGGGGAATACCTTAGTAAAGTTCAAACATGGTTACTATAGGTTATCGTGAACAAGTTTTAGCCACTTCGACAAAATTTGAGCATCGAACTGATATTGTCAATAATCCAGATAATACGAGTGCCTAAACTTTCATTAGAAGTAGACCTGAAATTAGGATCTCTTTGAAGTTTCCTCCAAACAACAGTTGGTGTTAACTGCATCTGGTAAATTTAGAATTGAAAAATCCCCCAAGAAGACTGACACAAGATAACAAAAATGCATAGAAAGCATGAGATGTGGAAAACAAAAACTCAAGAGCGAAAAGGTAAGGAACCACTGATTGGGCGTACTAATGCCGTTGACTTTCTGATAATTCTGTTGTCACGTGATAAACTGATAAAAAGGTGGTAGAAACTTCTAACGGAAACCATCCTTCATTTAGAAGCACCATAAATAAATTGCAACTTAAACCTTGAACAATTATATCTTGATTTAAAGCGTTCGTCATGTTATATTTATATGTGCAAGAAATTTTAAGTGGCCCTCTGTTGCTGTATGTTGGTTGTCTTGGCTGTTTTCTATATTGCTGTTGAATTTAAATGGATGAATAACTGATAAGGAAACTCTCATTCTTTGTTCGTCTTTAATCAGGGCATCGCATTGATAATCACGGTAATTCAAATAATACGAGTGCCTAACCTCAAGGTACTTATTGAATTCTTTGTCAGCTCCTTGCTTCAACCAGTTATTGTTCTATTGATCAAATGCCGAATGGTTAACCTGATGTAACCATGCTGTCTTTGTGTTAGTTTTCACTTGAGACACTTTTTTGATAAAGAGAACAAAAGTGTATTCCTTGCCCTCAACGCCCCTACCCTTGATGTAATTTATTACCATCATCAAAACTATCCCAGAAGCCAATAATAATTTAGCCCGTATGCCTAATTCAGTATTAAGTAGATATGAAGACACAAGTTCTTCTAAGTCTCAAATTGATATGCCCAATTATGTATTAAGTAGATTTGATGACATGAGTCCTTTTAATTCTTGAATGATATATCTTCAAATCCTTGGGAACTGTGGTCCAAAAAGTAGATGATTAGGTGTTGGTTCAAGTAGCATGGTGCAACATGTATTTCATAACATAATTTTTTGGCAATATTGAAGCTTAGCTCGAAATTTCTCTCTTTTTTCGGCTGGATCTTTCTGAAACTGGGACACCACACCAATTTTTGCCACCCACCCATTGACACTCTTGATAATCTACCGAGGAAAAACATAGAGCCCAAAACCTTATCAAAGCCAGAGGAAGACCTAACTATTTGGACAGGCCCAATCTAGGCTCGGACGGATAATTATTTGCATGATTTTCATCATATAAGCCGAGCACCTGTTACTCCATTGCTTTTCTAAACAGTCTGCATATCCCATGCTATCATAACAACCATTGGTCGCAACATGTGATGATATATTGCTGATGAGCTTCGTTACTGTCATTTTTTGACAAATTAGGTGGGAACGGTTCTCCTCAGCTGTGCGTTCTTGTATGACATTTTCTGGGTGTTTGTTTCCAAATGGTGGTTTAATGAAAGCGTGATGATAATGGTATGTTTTTATGGCTGTTGACCACCATTACAGACTTTATTTGTTTTCATAGTCACCACAACATGACTGTTTGTTCCTCTTAATACAGGTAGCTCGTGGTGATAAGAGCGGAGAAGATGGCATCCCGATGCTACTGAAAATCCCACGAATGTTTGATCCTTGGGGTGGCTACAGCATCATCGGATTCGGTGACATCATATTACCGGGGCTATTAGTGGCCTTCTCTTTAAGGTTTAAACAATTGGCTCTTTTTATTTAACCTCGACTTGTATCGCAAGTTCTTCAAATTTTGCACAATCAGGAATCTCTTATGCTCCTTCCAGTCCTTGAAAATTGCTTTTACTTGATACTCCTTGCGTCCCAAAATAAATGTCCAAAATGAAAAGGTCAATATTAGAAATGTATAATTATTACACTTTTTAGTTAACGAAATAACAATTTTAGCCTTAACAAGAGGGGTTGGGTTCCGGTGAGAAGGGAAGTTATGGTGAGAAGTGTAAGAAGAGATCTCCACCCTTTGATCAATCCTAATTGAATGTCAACACTAATGAGGTGCATTCCGATGCACCGGATCAAATCCCTTATAAAGCGCAATTCATGAGTGAACATAGATTAAAAGTGATCAAGGGTTCAGATCTCTTCTTACACTTCTCACCATAACTTCTCATCTTACACGATCCTTCGCCTAATAAGAGAAGGGGTTATGTATTTCTCCATCTCATAATTAAGGGTAAATTAGAACGTAGACATTTATTTTGGGACGGAGGGAGTACTAAGTTTGATGATTTGGATAAGTATGTGAATTATACCGTTCAATAAAGATAACAAAAATCTTCCCGACTCAATAGCATGAATTTAAACGAAAATAATGGGTAATAGGCAAGTTCAACAAGAAAACTTTCCGAAAAGGAACTATTGCAGTTTTATTAGATGGGTTGCAAGTTTTTAACATTATTCTCTTGATTTTTTTAGGTATGATTGGCTGGCAAACAAAAGCTTACGAGCTGGATACTTCTTATGGGCAATGATTGCTTATGGATTAGGTATGGAAACTTAATATTGATTGACAGCTTTTGATAATAATGCCATCAACTCAAAACTGTGTTTTTCGATCATGTATAAATAATTGAATTTGATAAAAATATACCATAAAATAATTGTTTCGGTTATGTACTTTTTGAGTTATGTGCTTTTTGTTTGTTAAGAGGTGTTGAACACTTGAACTCTCAAGTCTTATTTCACTTCTTATTCATAAGAGATGGTGCTGAGAATCAATAAGACTGTTTTCGTGAACCAATAAATGTCTCAATGTGTGTAATAGTCTATTTTACCCCTCCAAACATATTAACTATTAGCTAGGGTGTGTGTTCACAGTTCATATACATATTGTTTCTTGCAGTATCTAAAGACCTGTGCAAATAATCACATTAAGCTTTCCCAAGATGTTTTCTGTGCCCATTTGGTTGCATTTCTTGGTATTATCGTGTTGATAGCATGCTTTTTATATTGCAGGTCTGCTAATTACGTATGTCGCTCTGAACTTGATGGACGGACATGGTCAACCGGCTTTGCTTTACATTGTTCCTTTTACCCTAGGTATGGTTATAATTTACTATAACAGAAGGGTCCATTCATATGGTCCCTTGATCCCATCCCTATTTAGATTTGTATGCATCAAACTGGACTCACAAAATGAAAACAAGAATAAAATCCAGGGAAATTTGTGTTGATGCTTCAAACTAATTGTTCGGTCTATGCCACATTTTTTTCATGTACATTATTGACGTTGAGATCCACCCATTCTCACACCATTTTGTGGGTCGCATCATTCCATCTCTATTGATCCTAACATCATAGAAGCCTGGCTAGTAATCACTGTTTTGAGCCATCATTCTTTTTCGTCAAAAACCAACCACAATCCATGTGTACATGCCAAAAGTGGGGGTCTTTATGCAAGCAACCGCGCTGACCTTCCAGGGTAGAGGACATGACTGTGTACATCTCACCCCCCCCACCGAGGACCCGCCTCTAGGTGGGATATACTGGGCTCGTTTGGTTTGGATCGTATGTGTAAATGCCAAAACACTAAATTTGCAAGAGTAAGAAATTTTGGGCAAAATGTTACTATAAATGTAGAAGGACCATTATATTTGGCAATCCAAGTAAAATGTAGAGTTCCTTTTGTGGCATATTTTTGTAACAAAAAAACCAAAATTTCGGTTCCTAGCAATGCAAGGCTGAAAAACAAGAAAGAGAAGTTGAAACTAACGCTTGGGTTTCGCAGGCACGTTATTGACATTGGGGAAGCAACGAGGCGATCTGAAACACCTGTGGAGAAAAGGAGAACCAGACCGGCTTTGCCCTCATGTCCAGCTTCAATCTTCGGAACAATAAATAAATCGGTACCTTTTAGATAATATGTGATTTGGATAGATTGAGAAATTATACATATAGTTAGATTAGAACAAGAATTCGGTCTGTTTATTATATCGCAAGCGAGTAGTTGCTCTTTTAGTCCCCATTTCCAGATCACTTCGTATGTCCATACACCAAGTATCTAATATAACCAGTTTGCTGGTAGATATCTACACAGTAATTCCCTAGGAACTCCCAGGGCCAACTGCAATTATGCCACGTTACATCTTTTCAGCTACCCGTTAGTTTATCGGCTAACAGTTAGCGTACAGTTATCAACTAGTTTATCAGCTAACAACTAGCTTATAGTTGATTTATCATGGACATCACATCTTTTTAGCTGTCAGTTAGCTTGTCAGTCATCAACTAATTTATCAGTTAACAACTAGCTTATAGTTACCTTATCTACTAATTTGCAAACCATAGCCTGTATTTTCATCCTTGGTTTTTATTTTGAAGTTTCATCCTTGACATTTTAAAATGCATGAAAACCGATAGTTTTAAAGCAATGGCTAAGGAGCCGTTTACCTAAACACTTACACGGTAAGCACTTACTGGTAAAATTCAAAACAATTGTTTACTTATCGGGTAAGATTTTATTCACTAAAACGCATCGTATGCAACAATTTATCCTGATAAGCGTTAACCATGGTAAGAGTCATCGTCCTCACTTTTTTTTTAAGTATATAATATTTATATACGGCAAATGCAACAAATAAACTCACACACCCTCCTCACCTATGGTGAGGTTTGAACCCCTGACCTTCTAGAAGGCCAAGGGCTACGATACCGCTAGGCCTAGGCCAAAGGCCCTTTGGTAATCCCCGTTCTCACTTACGGGCAAAACTCTCGATTCTTGTCTTCGCTCATACTGGGTAAGATTTTTAGTCCTTGCCGTATTCATCCGGTAAAGTAAAATGACTTGGTAAGCGCTTACTCGGGTAAGCGTTTGGTAAACGGCACCTAAGTCGGAAAAGCTAGGGGTAGAATTTACAAACTCCTTACAATCTCTTCTTTTAACATGTAAAAGTTGTTTTAAGTGTACAAAAAATTTAGGGATACAATTCCTCTCTTGAGATCCCTTGAATACGACCTGAGGGATGGAAGCCCATGCAGTGGGTACCATGTATCAACGAATTGTAATTGGTTTGTAAAATTTTATACGGTGTAGTAATTAATTATATTTGGTATCAATTAAATTTCTACCAACTATTTTTCATTGGTACATGCTGGTACGGTTTTGTATCAACATGACAAGTTGAAGTTACAAGTTTATATATATAAACATCTTTACCAACTAGATTTAGATGAGGTAAAACCATCAAACATCCAAATAACATGATATGTGTTGTACCTATTATCCCAGCATATACAATCATTAAAACAACCTTGTACAATACAAATATTCATCAAGACGAATAATCGTGTGAGAAGGAGGGTTTAATATGAGAAGCGTAAGAAGGGATTTGGACCATTGATCGACTTTAATCTCAAACTCATTCATGAATCACGCTTGATACAAGGATTGATCTGGTGCATCTCATCATAATATGCATATAAGGGTGAAGATTCCTCTTCAATTCAACCATGTTCGTTAATAGTCTAATACAAACAGCCATGAAGAAACTATAGTAAAATAATTACACTTGAAATTAGATAACATACAGGAAGTAAAAAAGCTGTTATTACTTGGTTAAATCAAACCAGCCTTCATCAAATAGATTATCCTTTCTTTTTTAATACTTCCCACGTTCCAAATAAATGTCTACAATAAAAATGATGTAGTTTTAGAAATATGTAATTATTACACTTTTATTAAGTAAAAAACAATTTTATCCTTAATATTATAGAGAGAGAAAAATGAATTATGGATTTGGTCCTCGTGTTTTAATGTTTTTCTGACTAGGATCACTATGGTATGTTTATCATGGTTTTGATCCATATGGTATTCGATTTTGTCTCAGCTATGCCCTGTGACTAACACCGTTATAAAAAATCCGTTAAGCCAGTTAAATCAACGGTCATTTTAGTCTTTTTGCCTTTTTTTTTTTGTCTTTTTCCTATTAAAAAAAAGTAAAAGCCATTTCTTATACACATATAATATGGATATAAAAATAAATAAAATAAAGTATGGTTTTATGATTTGATTTATTTAAATTAAAAAAATTAATTATATCAAAAACGATTTAATTTTATTGTTATTTTTCACCATTGCAATAAACAAACTTATTATCAATATTTTAACACTAAAAGTCCAAAATCGTTGAAAACCATCAACAAGTGAATTCCAATTTTATCATCCTAAAACTAAGGTTTTCAGTTTTCATATTGTTCATTCAATCAACTAAAATCAATTTAATTTTATTTATTTTGATATCCTTATATATGTGTATATAAAAATATTGTTTTTACTTTTTCATAAGAAAAATACAAAAAAATAAAATAAAAAAATAAGCATGTAGCTGGTTTGGCACATTGGTTTTAGCTGTAACCCGGCTCACATTGGTTTGGCACATATGGAATGAGTGGAAGTATATATATTGAGGGTGCTCGGCCCCATACACAGTGGCTGGAACAATCTCTTGGTTAGAGGTCGATTGATTGTTTTCAACACCACGATCACAAACATACAATCTTAGGGCTTGCGGCGAGATATCTGCACCAATTGCAAAAAAATGTCTCGTATCATTGGTGTCAAATAACTCGATAATCGAACCAGATGACAAAGATGTATATGTTAACTTAAAAACTATTTTGAAAATCAGGTAAGTTCAATTTTCTAGCTAAATAATTGATTAAACCTGGAATGTTAAGTGTATCGGCAACAATACAACAACTTTTTGCATTTCTGGAATATAATCTACCACGTTGTTGACTAACTGTCACGAACCTGCACAAAAAAACACGTACTTTAACTTTCTCAATCACAGATATTGATCCTTGAGAATTTAGAGAAGATAACTTTTTTTTTGGTAAAAACTATATTAGAACGTATATATATCTTATATTTTAGAAAAACCAGATATATATAGTGTGAAGGAGTGAAAAAAATGAAAAAAAAAAATTGGCCGATGGGGCCCTTACGCACTGTGCACCGGCCGGTGCGTAAGGGTGTGGTCAAGGGTAAGGTCACATCGGTTAGGTGCTGTCACATCATGGTCAAAATATTTTTCTTTTGCAAATTAGTCCATGTACGCACTGGTTGGTGCTAACGGTGTAAAGGATGGTTAAAACGATAAAGTTGTAAATTTTAGGTTAAAAATGTAATCTTTAAAAAATATTGGGTTATTCTTGTCAAGACCCCATTTAATCATAAGATCATTTTCTTATTCAAATGGAACCCATGTTTAGCCATGGAGTGAATTGCAGATGGCTCTGAAATTAATCCTTTTATCTCTCTTATTTCTTTTACTCATTTTGATGAATGATGGCTTTTGAGTCTTATTTCTTCATCGTTTCTTCTCATGTCCAACGAGTTTTTTCACCGACTAATCTGGTTTTCATATTTTGCACGATCATTGAACGTATTTAATTTCTTCTATCACTTTCGTCTTCGTCAAGCATAAAGAACTGAATGCATAACTTTCAGAACACCATTCTCCATCATCTTCCAGCAAACGGTTGTCATTTCTTTTACCCCTCATGAAACTTTTTGAGATAGGGAAACAACAACTTGGATTTACGAAGACGGTACACTGGAAAACAAGTCGAGGGTAGGTTTTGAAGAGGAAAACACAAATTTGAAGGAGGGGTATATAGTGGAAAATCAGTCAGTGATTGCGATAAGCAATGCTTTCTATCTCTTATTCTGGTAAGATCCCCGGTCAGCACATTTTAAATAAGAATAAGCACGTAATTTTTATAAAATTATTATAAAACTAAAAAGAGTAAATAAAAAACCTTTGAACAAATAGATCTTAAATAGTTTCCACCTATGACCAAAAATGTTTCACGATTAAAAAACCTTCCAAAACGACATCGTAGTTGCTATTAATTATTATATACCCATTTTCCTAATTTACCCTTATTTTATTGTTTTTTTAATTAACTTGGATATCTAACCCGCTATGTAAGCCGACTAATTCCATGACGACCACCTGCTTTGTAGATATTTTGGAGTCACCGCATTTGAACCTCCGTGGCTACAAGGGGATTTTTATTCCTCCTTGGATTTGAACTTAAAACCTCTTGATACTTTTGTTATTTGAAGTCAAGTTCAAACCAATCAGACACCAAATTTATGGTTTTATTTTTATTTTTATTTTTATTTTTATTTTTATTTTTATAAACGCTTTTCACATGACTAGGTTGATGCCAATTACCACTTTCACGCTTAAAAGCTGGACCTTTCTTATCTATTTGCACCTTTTGTGGTACCAACAGTTTGTTGTAGAGAGAGAAAATGTTGCCGCCGGAGCTGGAATTGGCCAACAAAACGTTTCCTCTCATATCGGAATGCGATTTATCCTCCGTCAGCCACCGCTCAGTTGCTGCCGACCTCGACGGAACTCTGCTCAAAGCCAGCTTATCTTTTCCATATTACATACTTGTTGCAATCGAAGCAGGCAGCCTCCTCCGCGGCCTTATTCTGCTACTATGTGTTCCGATCATTGCTGTAGTCTACGTATTCATCTCCGAAGATTTTGCTGGCAGGATGTTGATATTCGTCTCATTCTCCGGGGTCAAGGTCAGCGACATCGAGGTTGTCGCACGCGGCGTTCTACCGCCGTTCTACGCGGCGGATGTGAGGAGCGACAGCTTCCAAGTGTTTGATAGTTGTCAGAGGAAGGTGATTGTGACGGCAAACCCGGTTGTGATGGTGGATACGTTCGTGAAGGACTTTTTGGGAGGGGAGAAAGTGCTTGGAACGGAGATCGAAGTGAATCCGAGGACGAACAGAGCTACCGGATTTGTAAAAGAGCCTGGTGTTTTGGTCGGAAAATGGAAGAAGTTTGCGATTTTGAAGGAGTTTGGTGAGGATTTGCCTGATATTGGAATCGGTGATCGGAAATCTGATCACGATTTCATGTCCATTTGCAAGGTTAGATATTTTGATTTTACCATATACATTTTCAAAAACAGTTTACAAAATCCAAAAGACGGTCGACTTCCGGTATTGATCTCGGTTAACTAACATCATAAAGTGTCTCATAAGTAATGAATTTGTTTATAATTAGGAAACAATGAAACATATCACACGCAAGCGCCACCGTCTAATTTAGTAGTAGTACACCATGAACACTGGATTTGTTTAAGCATATATACATACTTCATTCCTTAGCATGGAAAAATGGGATGTTCAAACACACATAGACGAGAAATTATCCAAGTTTAGTTGACGTTGAGAAGGACTTGATAGGTCAGAGGGGCTAGGCGAGTATGGAATGACATTGAGTGGTGAAATGAGTGTGATATTTTACTCACATAGTAAGAATATGTGAAAGCACTCGTGAAAGCACTCGTTGCTCCCCAAAATTGCCTTTGAGGAAAGGAAAAACATTCCAACATATAGGGTTGGTTCACATGAGACCAAAGAATTTTTGTGAGACTCGTAAAATCAATTTATGTTCATTGATCAACTTTATAAGCTAATGATCAAATGGTCTAAAGTTGTATGGTGGCAATTTTGTGATTATTGAGAAGTCTCGTGGCAATTTTGTGATTATGAATGTTCAGATTGTAGACATGGGATTGAGACCAAAGGTTTTTCGTAAGACCCGTAAGACCAATTCTCAACCCTTGGATTAGATCTACAATTTGAACATTCATAATCATAAAATTGCCGCGAGACTTCTCAATAATCACAAAATTGCCACCGTGCAACTTTTAATCATTAGATCATTAGCTTAAAAAGTTGATAAATGAACATAAATTGATCTTATGAGTTTCACAAAAAATCTTTGGTCTCACGTGAATTGAATAAACGTTATATATATATAATCTAGAAAACACACACATATATATATATATATATGTGTGTGTGTAAATTGCTTTTGTTCTGGTATACTTTCCAAAATTAGTATTAAAAAGCCATCTAGTTCATGTCACCATCTTCAACCCCTCCTTAGAAGATTAAATAATCCTCAATTTAACAAACCCTATAAATTATACAAAATGAAAAACAAATAAAGAACTATTCTTTCTTAACGCCATCTTCTAAATTCAAGGCGACTTGCGAGATGTAAGTATTACAAAAGCAACCAAATATTGATTCAAAATAAGGTAATCATTACATCCCTTAAAAGATTTAGAAGAAGATCAATAAGTCAACATGGAAGTATATCTTATATGTGTAAGTGGCATAGCTAAAATTCTTTTATAAAGTTGGCTTCCTTTATAAATTTAGGGTTTTTCATTAGAATGTTTTGGGATCATTTATCCAAATACTTATCAGGTAACCACTTATCCGATAAGATTTAATATTATTTTTATTTTGCCCTTAAGATTTTAGTCCATCAAAACGGCATTGTATGCAACAATTACTTGGTAAAAGATAACCAGGTAAGAGTCATCGCTCTTATTCATCAGGTAAGACTCTCGGTCTTTATAATCACTCTTACCGGGTAAGCTTTTTGATTCTTGTCATGTTTGTTGCTAAGTAATATTACTTTGTAAAAGCATTTGTAATTGATAAACTGCCTCTTAGTGATTTACCTTTCAATCTTTTGGTCTTCAAACAGTGAATCTAAATTTGTAATGAGTTTCAATTTTTGTTGGAGTTGATTATTAAAAAAATTCAAATTTCATGAAGATCTCTCATAAGTTTTCTTATTTTGCTCTATTAATTTAGGGGCCGTTTACCTGAACACTTACCTAGTAAGCGTTTAACGGTAAAATTCAACTCTATCGCTTATTTACCGGATAAGATTTTAGTCTACCAAAACAACATCGTATGTAACAATTTACCCGATAAGCGCTAACCGTGGTAAGATTCATCGTCATCACTTACCGGATAAGACTCTCAGTCCTTGTCTTCGGTCTAACAGGTAAGATTTTTGGTCCTTGTCATGTTGATCCGGTAAGTGAATATCACTTGGTAAGCGCTTACCCGAGTAAGCATCTGATAAACGGCCCCTTATTTTACGAGGCTTTAATAAATAGTTTAAAAACTGGCAATTAATTTACATAAAGAGTATAAAATTATTTTTAAAAATGGACAAAAAAAGAAAAATAATGCTATACGATTTCATGGAATAAATTTAAAATTAGAAATCTGTAGTAACATGTTTAAAATTTATCTTCGTATCCCATCCAAAAAATATCGTTTAGCCAGTTTTGGATAAGGAATGCATAAGATTGGTTCGTCAAATTTCACATATCTATACACCTAATAAATAAGTAGCTTTGAGGTCACGTGTCCTGTTTTTGTGCGACGGTTATTGGTTTTTCCCGCCTAAACATGCATCTAGACACAATTTTTACTTACGGTTCAAATAGGTCTATTTAATTGACACATGTCCCTCTAAACGTTTTTTTTTCCCGTTATGGTGGTTTAACTGATTTCAGTCGACAGTAGTCATACTTGTTTAGATATATAACTTTATATGAGATTCTAACTAAATAAATGACTTCTTCATAAGATTTTAGACCAATTTTTCTCTAATAGACTAGGAGATCATAAATTTAATTAGAATCTCATTTAAGGTTATATACCTGAATAACCCATTTAAACTTTTGTTGTTTTGAAGGTGGGATACATGGTGCCAAAAGACCATTCTGCAAGCATGGTATCACCGGACAGTCTAAAAACCCAACCGGTCTTCCACAAGGTGCAACAAGCGAGCGTTATGATCACCTACATTCGGTTGCCATTCAGATTCATTCTATCGTTTGCCCGTGTTTACTGCAATCTCTCACTACTCAAGGGAATCATCCGATGTACATATCGTCGGAGGTCGTCATGGTGGTAGTAGAAGGAAGAAAAGGTTTAAAGAAAATGTATCAATTGCATGTCTCATTCATTCGCGTAGAGATACAAAAAGCCCATTTTGTCAAGACTACTTATTAATACAGTTTAGAAAATGCATCTCATATTTCTTTGGTGTCTCATCCTATAAATTTCCTTGCAATTAAATTAAGTGAATCGTATACCATGCTTTGTTCAACTCCACTCAGAATTCCAATCATCAAGGGATGATTAAGGTGTGCTTTTGAGACAGGCTGGATTGAACGGACAAGATTGAGATAGACCTATTGAAAGAATTTTATAATATTTAAGAGTTTTAATGGCATGGATAATTTTAATAATTTACCAAATGTATCATCTTAGTTTCGTCTTGAACCGGTTGTTTGACAATTGCTAAATGGTTCGATACAGAATGATTAAGTGATCAGAATGATTAAGAAACTCTCATGATATAATGCAAAATGAAATATAATTGTTTGGTAATTGTATACAATAAAATTAGGGCTCTTAATGGTTAAGGCCTAAGAGAGATTCAAGATACAAAATCATTCAAAGGGTTTTAGAACCATTAAGAGGCAGACTTTTTTTTGCCAAACAAAATTCACCTCTCAACAATTCAGAAGTTGTTTTTTAATGAAACTATTAAGAGGTAAACAAACAACCCTTAAAAGTTGGGAGTAAGCATTACACATCCTTCGTGATCAATTTTCGAAAAGAATAAAAAAAGGAAAACAAGAAAAGATAATCATCCTTCTATCTTTATCACATATCCTATTTTGACACCAAAAATAAATTCTAAAAACAGAAAAGAATTTTAAGAAATTAATCTAAAGTTGAAATTTGTAACAAGAGTTTTTTGATTACCACAAATTAGTTTCATGCTGACAATTAGATATCGTGAAGGACCCTAACCTAATAACCTCTTTTGCCCAAAAAGAGTTAGAATCTAATATTGGGGCGAACCGGATTTCTAGTAGCTATCCAAGAACTTCAATGTTTGAATCAAAGGTTCATTATCTTAGACTAATTTGATATTTTATCAGGTGTACTATTTTTCTTATCATACATACCAACATCAAAACTCACTTTTTACATTTTTAATGCTTTGATTTGACATTATTCTAACATAAACAAGGGTGCATATAACACCAACTTTATCAATTATTATAATTTCCCGGAATAAACCATGAATTTTCTAGGCCTAATGTCATACTAAATGTGAGACAACAAACTTTATTTCCTGTCATACCCCAGGTACCAAACCAAACGCACCCTTCTTTTTATTAACATGGATATTCAACCCGCTATTCGAGCCGACTAATCCCAGAACGACCACCTGCTTTGCAGATAGCCCGAAGTCACCGCATTTGAACCTCCGTAGCCACAAGGGGATTTTTATTCCTCCTTGGATTTGAACCTGGGACCTCCTGGTACTTTTGACCTTTGGAGCCAAGCTCAACCCAATCAGGCACCACCCCTATGGTTACCAAACGCACCCTTAATGTAGTAACTGGTTAAAAGGCTACAAATTTGAGTAAGAAAACTAGCATCTTCACAAAATACTAAAAACAGGACTACAAAGTCTTCACAATCGACATCAAACAGACCATAAGCTTCTATTCATGATGAATAATGATGGCAATACAAGGAAAAGAATAAAGGACCAGAAAAGTCTAATTATATAAGTTAGCTAGTATTCGAAATGGTTTGAAGCAAAATCGAATCTAAAAGGATAACAGGAAATGCGGTATAACGAACCTGAAGATAAGTGCTAATCGACAGTAGTCACCTGTTGCCATTCTCCATCAACGGCTTCTTTCCACAAAGTGACGTTATTGTCGCCAGCAGCCACCGCCAAAAGATTTCCGGTTAACGACCACGAAACCCTCCAAACCGGGACCTTGAAATCATACAACACCTTACCATTCCAATTATCCCCTTCTTTACCCACGGTCCATATCACCACAGTCCCATCCTCGGAAGCACTTGCAATTGTCGATTTAGGAAGTCCTAAATTCGGGGCCCACGCAACAGCACGCACCCAATCGGTGTGCATTTGTAAGGCCGGGAAACAGTCCATCTTCCAGATCCCATTAGACAGCTTCCAGACCTTTACAGTATTGTCGCATCCACCAGAAGCCAGTTTTTGTACAGGTTCAAAAGCGCCAGATCCAACCAGAGCCCCAGGAGCCATTGACGGTGCCCATGTAACCGAGGTTACTCCAATCGGGTGAGCCTGGTCAATCCGTGTGGTGTCCCACCCACCATCTGACCTAGCGGTATGAACTGAGATGTTCCCATCGGACGAGCCACAAGCCAAGCAGAGGCCAAGCTCGTGTGGTGCCCAGGCAATGGAGTTGACCGAAGATTTATGGTCAGTAAAAGTATGGACCTGGGTCCACTCATTCGGGTTACCTTCCTTCCAAAGTATAACCATTGCATCATAGGAACAGGATGCAAGAAGTGATCCAAATTTCGGGTGGGCCCACGCAACCTGCCATACTGGACCGTTGTGACCGGTGAGAGTAGTAAGGTGCTGGGATGTAGAGTTGTTGCTTACGCCAATTATTTTAATGGTGGCATCTGAAGATGCAGACGCCACTCGCTTTCCATAATAATCCATGCAAACATCATGGACAGTGTCAGTGTGACCTGTTTCAATCTTTTGTGCAGGCATTTTCTGTGATTGGGATCTTTACAAGATGATCGAACTCCTGCACTCCAAAAAAAGTTCAAGAGAGAGTAAATGCAAATGCAAATGCAACTGATAGATAAATACCAAACCAAACAAGCCCAGTATATCCCGTATATCCCACCTGGAGGTGGGGTTCGAGAAGGTGAGATTTACGCAGACCTACCCTCTACCTCAAAGAGTAGAGCGGCTGTTTCCGTGAAAACCCCCGGCTAGTGCAAAGCGTGCGGGAAAAAAAAGGATAAAGCTTGCTCAAAGATTTTGCAGAAAAAGAACATAAGAACAAGAAAGGCAGTGTTAAAATTTGAACGATCCCATTTGCACACCAAGTCTTCTAAGTGCGGAAATGATCGGGGAAGGAAGCCTTTAAGTGCAACATTTTTATTGCTGCACTTTGCGAAGAGGTTATTTCCATGGCTCAAAGCCATGATCTTTTGGGGGCACAGAGGCATATGTACAAAACTGCAGGTTATTCCCTGGAATACAAACTCAATCTAGAGATATAATTTGAAACCAAAAATTGGAACTAACATGCTCAGATATTTTTCGGCTTTTATAGTTGAAGAGTGCTAGGTAAAACCAAATAGTCACGTGTAGAAAGAAATGACCTATACCAAACCAAACAAGCACAGTATATCCCACCTGAAGGTGGGTTCTGAGGTGGCTGAAATGTAAGCGACCTGACCTCCATCCCAAAAGGTAGAGTGGTTGTTCCCTTGAAGACCACAAGCTTGTGCATAGAGTGGAAATACATCATAAAAAAGAAGGTTCGCAAAAGAACTTAAAAAAAAGTGAGTGCTGAAAATTTAACTTTGAAAAACGAGTTAAAAGTAAGCAACCAAAAAACAGATTAAGAAAACATACAAACTGATGCAAGTACACGAAAACATAATCAAGGTAGAAAGGACTACACACCCCTAGTATAATCTAGGATTCAAGGGGGTCTAACTGCCGGCTCACTAAACCTACACCCAACCTCTACCTCTACCTCTCAGAGTCCCTTCCTCCGAGTTTAAGAGAGCTATACATACCCCCCCCCCAAAAAAACAAAGTCTGCTACCCTAATTTTGTGTGAAATTGACTTGACTACCAAACTTCAGAAAAATAATCCCAAAAACATAACTGGTTATGGTAAATGCAAAGGCAATTGCTGCACCATGTATGCCACATGCATCTAAAAGGGAAAAAGAAAAACCTATAGAAAGATGAATTTACTGCTTTTCACCTCTCATTAGTTAAGAATATGCTCCCAAATATACAATTAAAACTCATAAGTAGGGGTGTTTGTGGTGCGTTTTGGGGCCAAACAGCAAATCGCACCGCATATGCGCTTTGAGCATTTTCCCAAACCGCCTTACCGCACCGTATATTTCTCAAACTGCAAAAATCTGCACAGCGAAATGCGGTGCGGTTTATGTGGTTTGTACCTGACACACTTTACACCTACAATCCAGTAATTATAAGATTAAAACTTTATTACAAAATCAACCATAATGTGACCTTAGTCCAAACAAATAAAAAAATACATCTGATTCCCAACTACATATTACATAATTAAAAAAGTCTATACAAACTAAAAATATTACATAATTAAGAAGAGTCTAAGAAAACTAAAAATATTACATATTTAAATACAGTCTAAGAAAACTAAAAAATATTACGTAAACTAGCCTAATTATTGTATATAAAAATATATATTTGCAGTGCAGTTTGCACCGCAGTTTCATGACTCAAAACCACAAACTGCACCACATATCGCGGTTTGGTAAAAATGCAAACTGCAAAACACACCACTGAAGTTCTAAACCGCGCTTTGTGGTGCGGTTCGATGTGGGCAGTTGTGCGGTTTGGATGAACACCCTTATAAGAAAGATAAGAAGGCAACTTGCATTTCTTGAAGAACATAGCAAATGAATTAATCCTATTCTTCATATTGTTAGTGAAAATGCGAGAGATGACTAACAACTTGATTACATGTTGCTAGTTCAAAGTATAATTTCCTAGGTAATAAAGAGTGATGTCCGTCAAAATGTTCAAACCATAAGAATATAGATACATGATAGTCCCTTTTAGCAAAGACCAAATGGATCAACCAAAAACAATGTTTAACATTCTCTTGGTTGTTATATTATGGCCAGTTGTTATCATCTCCTAAATGAAACACATGAATAAGAGGTATTACCAACAAACTTAGAGTTGGATGCCCAATAATATAATGGTACATATTACTATAAACCAGATGAAGGTTCTTGGCGGTGCTTACATACACTAAGGAGGCTTTTGGTTCGCAGAGTGGAATCTGGTGGAAATGAAATCTATCAAAGGAATTGGAATTTGAAAGAACTGAAATGCAGTTTAATGAAGTTTGACCACATGTTTGATTGGCTGGAATTAGGATGGAAAATCTCAAATGAATTGGAATATGCATGTTTGGGGTGGTGGCAGAAGCAATGGTGGTGGTGCTGGTGGGTGTATGCCCGATTTAGTAGAAGGGCCGTCCATGGGGGAGGGAGGGTCAGGCGTATGCCCAGGGCCCAAAAGAAAGAGGGGACCAATTTTTTTCGTGTATACTATATGGCATATAATAGTAGCACAAAAAAATTAATAAATTAAAGAAATACAAACTTTTTAGTTTCTAATATGATCCAAAAAGAATTTACTATTATATCAAGGGCCCAAACATGTATTAGTTAATTACATTGGAGAAGAAAATATGTAAAAAGAACTAATTGGTTGTTCATTCAATAGCATTGCTTATTTTTTTCTCTAAGTTTTTATATCTACTACTAAAATCCAAAAGTACTTTGTCCGGGAAAAATTGATATATTCTCCATCATTCATCTCCCACCGACTCTTTTGATTATTCCATCTGCATGAATTCTATTTCTGTATTAGAATATAGAAGATTTCTTGCTATTAACTAAGAAAAGTCTTGCCTTTTGAAAAAAACTATCAACTATATGAGATGATCTGACTTATATCTATATTTAGGATTTCAAAACTATCTTTCTTTTTTCATACAGTATCGACTCTTTATTACCTAATATTGAGTGCATGAACTTTAAGTACTCTCCTATCTCTAAAACGGGAAAAAAAAAAAGATGGAATTTTGGTTCTAAGATTGATGGTTCCTAAAAAGTTTGTTTTAACCCTAAAAGTTTAAATTGGTGATGAGAAAATTAACATGACGTGACATTAACATGATGTGACATGGAAACACACCTAATTTATATTGACTTACATAAAGTGTTACTCTAAATAGTCAATATTGTGACCCCAAATGATGTCAATCTATGTAGTAAAGGTATATCATAGAGCGCGTTTGGTGGTGGAACGAATTTACGATGCTATGTAAAAGTGAAATGGTAGATGATATTAATTTAGAAGTAATTATTGATTGATTTTGCATCTAGGAATACTCGGAAAAAAAGGTTTTATATAGATTATTAGTAGTTTTTTAATTCAATTTTATATCTGATGATAAAAATAATATATTGAATTTTTTTCGGTACTTATCGAGGGCCCGGTTTTACGTCTAGACTAGGGTCTTATAAAGTATCAAGAACGGGCCTGTTTAGAAGTAGCATGTCACGAAAGGTACATCTACAATTTTCATGCTTGAAACACAATGTTATAATAAATACACAAGTGCATAAAGGTTAGGAAAGAAGGTTGAAGGTCTTTGAGTAGTATAAGCATGTGGTATACTAGATAAATTTAGTATAAGCATTTTAATTGAAACAATAATAAGTCTTCCCTTGGTTAACTGATAATTGTCATTCGTTTGCTTTGAAATTTCAAGTTTGTATTTGTCATGCATATAATGAACTTATATCATTTTTCTAATTTTAAGACCTAATTTTTCCATTAATAATACCTCTTGTTCTTCTGGTGTAGCTATTGATTTTTCCTTGCAAACTTGATATGTATTTAAAATTGTAAGCCCGTGACAACTAATAAACTAATTTTATTGTTTGACATCTTGACAATCTTATTGCATGAGGTGCTTATGCTTGTAGTAGAACTTAATCTTCTTGATGTAATCATAAAAAGTCGTTTTTGCTTTCCCATATAAGGAAAATCATTCATGTTAAGTAGGTACCTACATGTATTTTTGAATTTATCATTTCATCAGCATAATAAATTAAAAATAAGAACGATATTATAGTGATGAAATAATATATTTAAAAATACATGTAACTACTCAATATGAATGATTTTCTTGATATAGGAAAGCAAAACGGCTTTTTATGATTATTACCAGAAAATTAAGTTATACCACAACACAAACATAACGATTGCATACAATAAGATTGTCAAGATATCAGACAACCATTCTGGAGTTCTTTATTAGTTATGTTTAATTTTGAATGTCTAACATAATGTTTCTGATTTCAAATTTTAAATATATCAATTTTATAAGGAAAATGGATAGCTACACCATAAAAAACAAGAGGTATTATTTATGAAAAAAATTAATAGGTATTAAAATTTAAAAAATGATATGAGATCATTATATGCATGACAAATACAAACTTTAAACTCAAAGTAAAAGAATGACAACTATCAGTCAACCAAGTGAAGACAATATTGTTTCAATTAAAATACTTATACTAAATTATTCTAGTATCCCACATGTTTATACTAGTCAAGACCTTCAACCCCCTTTCTTAACCTTTATGCACCTACATATTTATTTTAGCATTGTGTTTCAAGCACAAAAATTTGCACACGTGGTTTTAAAAATCGTCTGAGGCATGCAACCGCACCTGAGGCCGCCTCTTGGATCCTGGACGAGGCTTACGCTTGGTTCGATGAGGCGTTGTCGAAGCATAAGCCTCATATGATCGGCTTTGGTAATGGTTTATTTGGCTTTTTTAAGCTACATGGCAGTAGTAGTACTTCTCTTTATACTTCTACATAGTAGAAGTGTCTTTTTATTTTAAAAACTAAAAGTCAAAACCCAATGGACCCAATGTGTACTTTTAATATTTTAAAACCAAAGAAGCTAGCACTTTCTTCTCTCGATCAAAAGTGTGGTTTGACCTTTTCTCTTCCTCCAAGCAACCAATTTCCACACCTTCTCAGCCTATTTCTCTGTGTCACTCTGTGATAACCGGGTTTTTGGTTATACACTTGAGGTAATATTTATGTGATTATTTGATTATGTGAATATGTGCATATTTATATATGTGAAAGTATGTATGCATGAGAATGTTAATATGCATATGTGTATGCATGTTTTATATGTTAACATGCATAAATGGTGGAAGTAAAATATGCATGTATGTATGGATTTTTATACATAGTCTAAGGTGTTAATGGGAAAAAGAAATTTAATAATATTTCTTAGGCACCGCCTGATTTCGAAAGGATAAGAAGAGGCCAATTTTATATATTTCTTTTCCAAACCGCCTCTTTTGATAATATAAAAAGGAGGTTTCTTTTTTAGGAAGGTTATCTTCAAACCTGGAAACAGAGAGAGAAAAGTGTGTGAGTTCCTTCTAAAAGTTTAGAAGCTGGAAATTTGGGTTAGAAGTTAAAGCAGTTTGTGTTGATGTTTTGTTGCATAAGGTGAGTTTTGCTTTAAACAACAGTCTTTGAATTTGTTAAGATTACAGGTTTTTGTGGAACTGATGATAATATTGTGCAGTCGGTATGTGTATTTTATGAAGATTTAAAGGCTGATAAGAACCTGTAGACGGACAGTGTTGTCCGATGAAAGTGTGTCCAAACCATTTGTGAATGAAAAGAGTATTTTTTTTTTTTATCTTTCAAATGAGGCTAAAAATCTGGAAAAGGTAGTGTTGTGATTTTCTTTCAAGACGATTGTGAGATGAGGTTTGTTTTGAAAGAAATGAGTTTACAAATGTTTCTTCAGGACGGTTGTAACGTAAGTCTGTTCTGAATTGAAACAATGTTTCTAGGGGACGGTTGTGACGAAAATCTGTTCCGATATGGAACTATTTTATCAATGTTTCTACAGAACGGTTGTGACGAAATTTTGTTCCGGTATGAAACTATTTTGCCAATGTTTCTACGGGACGGTTGTGATGTAAGTCTGTTCCGGTATGAAACTACTTTAAGGCCATTATTGGCTAAATTTACAGATTTATCTGTAGATTTGAGGAAGAATAAGGATGGCATATTAAGGAGAGATGTACATCTGAATAAGGGTGGCATTTGAATAGCTCTTGTTATTGTATCAATAAGAGATAATAGCTCTGGGTTAAAATTTGTCTGTGACTTGGGAACTTAGAGATGTTGCACTTATTAAAATAATAACATTGATGTTATTGAGAAGAGGAAAACGGCTATAACCAGAGGCATCATTTGCCTATGATTTCAAATGATTTTAATGAAATCAGAGTATTCGGTTTTATAGTTGATCAAGAGAAACAAGTATTTGATCGGAACCAGAAGGGCTCTGGTTGGTCTTTAAGACAGACCAAAGGGCCTCTGGTTGTGTGGAAAATCTTTTTACGTGTTTTCAGGAATCTTGTGATCTAGAGGCTCTGTATGTACTATACAGACTATGTATCATAAACTTGGTCATGCGAATAGTTTTTAAAGTATTTTCAGAATTTATATGACCCAGAGGCTCTGTATGTACTATACAAAGGCTTTGTATCATGAAAGTTGTATTTTCAAGTTTTTACGTCTGAGCTCTGTGTCCGAGAGTGGGGTTCGAGCTCTGTGTCCAAGTGTGGAGTCCAAGCCTTGTGTCCGAGTGTGGTGTCTGAGCTCTGCGTCTGAGCTCTGTCTTTTAAATCTTAATTTATATTTTCTTTCAAGTCTAAGCCTTTTAAAAATCATTTGCAAATAGAACAAAGAACCAGAGGAGCTCAGGTTATATTTTAGTGATCCTTTTTATTTATTTTTTTTAAATTCTATTCTGGCCTATTTGGACCAGAGATTTTGATCATCCAGAGGGTCTCCAGTTGAATGGTAGCCTTAGTTATTTTTGAAGTGTGAGTGCAGAGGCTCTGGGTGGTAGGAGCAGAGGCTCTGGCCAACTAGAAGAAATGGTTTAATAAAAGAACTTTGTCCCTTAGAAACTCCTTAGTAACCAGAGGAGCGCTGGTCCTTAAGAGCAGGGAAGCTCTGACCAGTTGAGCCAAAGGAGTCTTGCGTCTCTGTATTTTATAATTGATGCAAATTTCAGGGAGCATGTATCTGTATGTGAAAAGATGTTTTAAAGTAAATTTTGGTGATCTTCACCCTGCAATTGCAAAGAAGGGGTTATCTCACTAGACCTTTCGGTCTAACCCTCATCTTGTGTTTTAAATATGCATTGCAGGATCAGCAGGGTCTCGGGATATTAAGGGGAAGGGAAATATATGACTATTTTCCTTATATGTTTATCAGCTGTTTTTGAAGATACATGTAGACATACATGTGATAGTACAAGGTTATTCTTTTGGAAATTTTCAATTGTAGATTCTGTATATATAGAATCCTTGTACTAGTGGGACCTATGAGGTGTAATCTGCATTTTTTTAAATGAAATATATGTTATATGCAAATGTAGAGTATGGGGTGTCACACACTCTTTCATCTAATCATCTGTCAAGAACCATTGAACCAACGCCCTTAGTAATTGAGTATTATATATTGTAAATAAGTGTGTATACATTTGTGTAGTATATGTACATATTTTGGTGGATATATATTTCTGCCTCGGGGGCTTACGCCTCAGAACGCCTCAAGGCTTACGCTTCGCCTCATTGAGGGAAAACACCTTGAGGCCCGATTCCGACTTTTAAAACCTTGTTGCGCATATACTTTTCACGACATGCTACTGCTGAATTGGGCAAACAACCGTTGCTTCGGGGAAGAAGTGGGTTTAAGGATCAAAACAGAGTCCGATAATGCTAGCTAGTTCAAAGATAAGATCTATGAGGCATTTCATCAAACACACACCGCTCAGATTCAAGATTCACAAAAGTCAGCCCAATAGTCATTTGACATATCATGGCTGATCTATTTCTTATCAGGATAAACGAAATATAAAACCCCCAAAAGAATTCCAAGATCATAACAGAAAATAGGCAGAATCTTTACATGTGTTCATTAGAGTAGAGCCATGATTATTACCTAGGGTGGTCCTCCCAAATAAAACAAAAATTCTGACTGTTTAATCTTATCATCGTTAGTTGGCTCCAATGAATCGACTTAGCAATTCCAATAATCAACATAAGAGAGAGTGATTAACTTAACACTTTCAAACAAATACGATGAACACAGCAATTTCAGTAATCAACACACCAATTTCAATAATAAACACAAGAAATTCAACGGTCAATATGATAAGCTTAACACTATCAAACAAATATCCAACAATTTGGAAATTTCAACATAACAGGACCATTCAATAATTAATACTAATTACTAGGAGATGAGGATCTCAATAATCAACATAACAGAGAGAGAGAGAGAGAGATGAACCCTAAAAATTAAAAGTGATCGAACCCTGAAAATTTGACTTACTTCTAAAAGCTTATTCCTACAATCCATACAGCCTATGACGTCTTTGCACACACAATCGGACAACAATTGTAGGGGGGATTGAGTGATCGTACTCGGTGCTTATGGTTTTGGGTGTGCGACAGTCTCAAAGGTGAGGGTCTGATGTATTTTGGGGGTGGACCTTCAAATGGTAGCTGGACTATATAGATTTTGGGCCATCTAAAAAGTTTCTTAGAAAAAGTTCAGGGCGGTGCTGACCCCGGGCCAGTGCTGGCTTCAAGACCATTTTGTGTGTGTTTTCAAGCAAATAAATGGGAGTTTTAGGTTTATCATTTAAATTACAGACGTAAGCAGGAACACGAGGCAACAAGGACATAAACAGCTTGTTCATTCAGATCACAGTTGCTTTCATACCAAATTAAGGTTGCCGATTGCAAAGATAATTAGGTCAATTGAACTCGATAACTAAGAACTAACTGATCTGTTGGCTAAACAACGCATCAGTTAACAAAAGCAAGCCGGAAATATACATACAAAATTATGGATCAGAATATATAAGATTACCTGGATAGCACTAAGTTGTGGCACCGGTAAGAATATTCCGGCGACGGCCACCGGGAAGAGGAGGGAGATTAATGCAGGAGAGCTTTTTGGAGAATGTATTGCTACTTGCTAGTAAAAATACAAACGAACAAAAAGTCAGGCCCATATTGCCAAGCCCAGAATCCACCTAAAAAAGGTACGGGTCGGGTAACGGATCAGCTGGTCCCAGTCCTCATCCGAATCAAATAAGGGTGCGTTTGGTTTGCAGGAATGTTTCTGAGGGATTTGGATTCCCAGGAGGGATTTGGATTCCATGGGATTTGGATTGGATTGGATTTAAAATTCATTCATGTGTTTGGTTTGCAGAATTTGGATTGGATTTGAAATCCATTCCTCTGTTTGGTTTGTAGGATTTGGATTTGGATTTTTTTTTTTTTTTGTAACAACATATGAAGTACAAATCGGAACATTAATCGGAACAGCATATGAACTAAATCGGAACAGAATATGAAGTACCCTTATGTATTTGAAGTACAAATCGGAACAGAATATGCAGAAATTGAAGTACAATATGCAGAAATCGAAGTACAAATCGGAGCATTAATCGTATTGTGAAGTCGTAACAGAAATCGTAGTAAATAGAAATTACCTGTCTTCGGCGATGGAGACGAACACGGTGGGAGAAAGCGACAGAGATGGAGACGACCACGGTGGGAGAAAGCGACGGAGCCGGAGACGGCCACCGTGGGAGAAAGCTACAGAGCCGGCAATGTTTGAGGCTGGAGGAGACAGCAAAGTTGGAGGCTGGAGGAGATGGTCAGGGATGAAAATGGAGGATGAGATGGAGACATGACCTAGGGCAAGATTTGGAATCCCACGGAAATGGATTTTACAAAACCCGTGTCCTTTCAAAGGATTCTAAAATCCACCGGTCACGGGATTGTTAATGAATCCCAGGATTTTAAATTTTATCAATCCTACAAACCAAACACAGGATTGGAATGGATTTTAAATCCAAATCCCTCCAATTTCATTCCAATCCTGCAAATGCGCAGACAGGACAGGACAGCTGTTCAGCAAAAAAACATTTACAGAGCTCATTCAAACTAAAATGCAACTTCAAACACTAAAATCTTATCAATTTCTTCAAGTTGACTACAGAAAACACACGAAGATGCACAAATGGAGAACCAAATTCAACCCAAACCGTTAAAGTAGCTACATACAGAGCTTAAATCCATCGAAAAATGAGCTTCACAAACAAGAAACCTAATTACATAATTATAAACATACGACTAAATTGGATTTCTAAGCAGGTGAAAAAACCTTGAATGATGATACGCAATTACTTGAAATCCATAGATTAGAAATCGAAGGACTTACCAGTCGAGAAGCAACAGTCGATTGGATATGGAGAGAAGAGAAGCGTACCGTCGATTGGAACAGTCGAGAAGAGAAGCAACGCCGATTGGAACTCGCCGTCGATGGTCGCCGTCGATGGAGTTGATGAAAGAAGCGATGGAGCCGGATGAAAAGGGGGTTAGGTCTTCCTTCACATGTGATGAGCCGGGTAGGAGAAAAAGGGTAACGGAGGGAAAAAATGTTGACTTCCACTTGGTTCTAGGGGGTATAGTTGAACAAGCCTAACTCATTTTGTCCAATTTAGTTCCGCTTAGTTTCATATCTAGCCGCACCAAATGTAGAACAAATGTGTTCTGTTATATTCTATCTCATCCTGTCCAGCGTACCAAACGCACTCTTAGGACCAAACCAACGGATCCAAATATTGTTGAAGTAAGAAGGTCTCGTGCAATGCAGCGGGTTACATCTCGATTTTAATATTTTGTTTTATTTATTTTTTTGTCCTATGAATGTTATAATACGGTTTTATGTGGTTTTGAGAAAATGATAATGTTTTTATTTTTGAATAAGTTATAAATTTGAAAATATTATAAAATTATGAAGAAAAAAAATATATCGATATTAGTATCAAATTAATTCTTTAAAAGTTCTTATTTTTTTATATAATTTTTTTAATTTACTTTTTTATTATAATTTAATTTAGATTTTTTACATGTGATGTAGGTTGATAGGAAAGGTTTCTTCTAGGTTCGATAACGGAGGTAGGGCAAGGTGCTGGGTCGGGCATACCAAAAAACTATTCCTTACCGGATGGATTTCTTCATTATTTGAGTTATTGTCTTCGGGTATATTCAAAACTTCTGCTACAACGATAACGTCTTCATCCTTATTTACCTTCCACAATGTTGACTGTTTTGGAGACTGGTTCAAATCTTGAACCAAAAAACTATCAGCTTCAAAATCATTTATCGGTTCAAAAACCTCAGTCGGTTGGTTTTGATAATGTTGCTTTGCTATCGACGCCTTCGACACATGAACAAAATTATCAGGTTCATTCATGACGACAACACCATGTTGATTGATCCCGACAACATTGTAGGGATGGCGCCACTACAACCAGGAAAAAAAACTACCGGTTTGATTGATTCTATCATCAAAATATAGATTTTCACCACTACCGCCGGGGAAGAAACTGTTCAGTTGATTTATTCAGACAAGAAAATATGGATTTCCTTCATTACCACCAGGTTAGAAATAACATGATTGATTGATTCCAGTAGAACTATAGGAATTTCCACCACTGCCACCAGGGTAAAAAGTACCTGTTCGATTCATTGCAGAAGGACCGTAAGGGTTTGCACCACTACAGCCGGGGAAAAACATATTTGGTTGATGGATTATGACACTTGACAGATCTCCACCATCACCATCGCCACCCCCGTGGACAACAAAGAATGTCAAAATTTGCGATAAATTTTGATGAACGGCGTTTTGGAACATCATCACATTGTCGTCATTACCTAGCTCAAATAACTCACAACTCAAAGGATCTTTATAAAATAACCTAAAACGACTACGTAAACTTAATTTTTTCGCAACACGCTTCACCACACCAGAATGTGTCATCGGCGAAGGCAAAGATAATATACATGTAGGCGCTCCTAACGACATACACTCTAAAACACCATTTATCGTCCGGAACAAACCTCCACTTTGAACATACACGAAACCATTATCACTATGAGATGATTTCATATATGTGTTAAGAGTTGTGATGATAGATTATGTTTAAAGGTTATAATGGTAAAAGTGTTTGAATTAATACATTTTTTTATATTTGGATTACTACAGTTATATATACTACATTTTAATCTAAAAAAGATAAAATACCAATAAAAAACAAACCCTATGTCTAGTCATGTCGTCATTGAGTTGTCAAATCAACCAAAAAGTTGGGTCATAAAATGTCTCCACTACAAGACGAAATAAGAATGAAAGCCGCATTATACAGGGGCGATTTTGATAAAAAGTGGAGAAAATCATATTTTTGTCCCCCAAGTAATATAACATGAGACTCATCCATGCCTCAAATAGAGAAATCGCCCCAATAAAGTAAATCGCCCTCCAGGAGCGATTTTGGTGGTCATTTTATGAAAAATATCTGAAAAATGGTCATTTTATTAATATACCACGTATAAATTGGGGGTCATCAACAATGCAAAGGAATGTACACCAACATAAAACAATATAATGAAAATATTCATTCCCATTCTATGCTATATTCTTTTTCGTTGTCATTACCATTACTTAAAACGAACCAAACACACCCCCCTAAATAAAACCAAAGTTTAAACCGTTCTATGGCATAGAAAATCCAACAAAAAATCGTTGTCATCCTCTCTTTAGCCGCGTCGGACTCGGACGTACGTTTTTTGTATTTCTTTAGAACCATCACATGGTCCGTGTTCATTTTGCCATTTATGTCCAGCAAAATTAATAGATCACCACTAAACAGCCATAATCTTTTCATTTGCATGTTCTAAAAAGGATTTGTTTGACATGCATTAATATTTTAAGAACAAGATCAATTATGCCATCGCCATCTATTATATAAGTTAACAAATAAAAGTCAAAACTGATAAAGAATTAATTAATAAAACAGAGGAACATCATTGACTAAAGCATAAAGCATTAAATCATAAGATCCCATCTCAGTTTGACAGATGAAGTGTAAATGTTTCTTTATGAAGTTGAAAAAAACCGATAAAGCATGAAATTTGGGTATACGTTAACCGGATTAGTCTGCAGTCTTAATAAGAGGTTTGTCCTTGGTTAACTGTAAATCGTTGTTTACCGACAAAATACCTTCATTATCTTGTGCTGACCCAATAGCAAAATAGTAATCTTGCTGGGTAAGTGCTCTGACAGCACCAGAAGTTAGATCAATCTTTAGACAAACTAGCTAATGCTGACCGAATCAGCACCGGTCAGCAGGCAAACAATCCCTAAGTACCATTTTTGGGATCATGAAAGTGCAAAACTCAAAAAAAATATTAGATGTTTGTGAAGATATCTAAGCAATGATGTCCAAATTAAGAAGCAAGAAACAAGAAAATGTAGCTTGATTTGATTATAACTCATCTTTCTCATGATCATTGATTGAGGGATGAGCATGGCCTTCGTCATTGCCATGGAGTTCTGCAAAAACATCATCGAATGGAGGATCTCCTGGCCTTCGGAAAAGTCGATCCCCGATTTTCATCTCATATGCCTCCGGTTGGCTCAATATAAAGTCTTTCAACTAAACAATCAAAACACGAATTAACCCATGAACACAAGTATAACAATACATATTGGGACGAAGGATTGTGAGAATAGGAGATAAGGTGAGAAGTGTAAGAAGGGATTTGGACCATTGATCACTTTTAATCTCAAACCAACCCATGAATTTCACTTTAGAAATGAATTGATGCGGTGCTTCTCATTAGTGTTGATCTAGTGGAACTCTTCAATTAAGATTGATCCAAGAGTGGAGATCTCTTCTTACCCTCTCCCAGTAACCCAACACCATATATTGGTCACTGTAAGTAAGATTTTGTGATTTAACAGTGATCAAATCTTGGTGATTTCTTCATATTTCAACAACAATGTCACTGTTACCAGCCAAGTTCATCTAATATCTAACAATTTTTGCTCACAATGACCTTCCAAATCATGCATGTGTTCCACATGTGAGTTTAAGATAGTCCCTTCAATGTTAGATCTACATGTTTGTGCATGTATTACACCACATGTATGTTGGGTCAACAAATCATAAAATATCGAGTGATTCAACCCTTTTTGCAATGGTCAAACTTAACTTGTTGCTGCAAGGTAATCATAATTCTCATAAAGTGTCAAAGAAACGATACAGTTTGTAGATTGAGTGATTTTGGACAAAGTACAAACATAAATGCGAAGAAATGCCATTTTCGACATAGTAATGCGCTATATTACATTTACATGTACATTCAGTCATTCATATTCATCAATTTGTTGGATATTAAGTGAGTGGCTTGTTGAATCTCTATATTTTGTTTTTAGTTGAAAGCAAATCATCATTCTTGTGATAATGCCAAAAAGAACAATATATTTTGGAAAATAAAGTGATTTTGAACAAACCACAGAAATGCAAATGCGAAAAATAAAAGATTTCTTGTTTGACACTCTTTTTCATTATATTGCTCATCCTCACAAAGTGTATTGTTTGTTTTACTTCCACAAGAATGATTGTTTGTTTGCAAAGAAAAATATTCAAGTATAACAATTCAAATACCAATCACTCCTTTGATATAGGATAGATTTTAACGGTAACTCTAGATTCAACTTTCTAGCTTTTACAGTTGGGACATTCTCATGGGGTTTGTATGCGAGTGTGTGTTCAAATTTTGTTTCTCAGCAATTAATTTAGAAGATTGCTCGGGAGTAATATCACAAAAGAATTTGAAAGGCTATTTGGAACGAACCTCTAGAGTGTCTTGGCCTTTTTCCAGAGTGAACATTATTGTGCTCACATCAACACCCATAAATTTGACCTCTATAGCTCCAGTTCTTGCAATTTTGCTCCATTTCATTGCAATATCTGTTATCACATCCTGCAAATTATGAAAAAAAGTGATCCATCTTCCAGTTAAGTTCACCAAAATGGCAATACTTAAATATAATCCCTTAAAGAATTTTAGCACATATGAGAGTGGTCATACATCTGAGAATATCCCTTGATCCGACAGCTTACGAAACTAATGATCAAAGTAACATCTGGATAATATAGCACTGTGAGATGCGGCTGCGAAATGCATTTGATCTTCAACTACTCTACAATCTCTAATAGTTTTAACATGAGAACTTTTCCCCATCCTGCTCTCGCCCAAGCATATTGACCAAGTGTTCTAATGGGATCCCTACTTTTGTTCCTGCTGATCATAACCCCTTTAGAAGGGCTAGCAATGTACTGAACTGGTGGCATTATGCTACTACCAGGAGTCCGGAATCGGACAAAAATAACTTTATACATTACATATTTTCTTAATTAAACAATTAGATCCTACCAGGAGTTCTACTTCTCTTAATTTCTTTTCTCAAATCATGGTACATTTCCTATTTGATTACTGTCTCTTCATCTGCTTTGTGTAGAGTAAATCATCTAATTGCTAAAAGGATCCCACAAAAGTAATACATTCAATTTAACGAATAAAAGGTTGAGACGAAAAAAATGCTTCCAATAGGTTGCTTGTTTGTACGGCACAATCAAGCAATGCAGTGCAGCAATTATGATTAACTTTGCTTGACACCCTAGAATTCTTCAATACTTTGAGTAACTTTCAGATCCAAAACCTAGCCAGTAGCCAGCGATTGATTATCACAATTCACATAAGGAGCTATCTTTTGAAATTTTGTCTTAAATCTGATGGATTGTGCTAGATGAGATCTTTAATACTTCTCATAAACGATCAATAGTTTGTTATCAGTTCCTCTAAACATATTTGTTATTGAGAAATTAACGTATTTGAATATTCGAAGTCAATTCTTAGCTCTTCGATGGTAAACTATAAGAAAAAAAAAACCTGGAATGCAAATGAAGCTTTGTCAATTTTCAAACAGAAGAAGAATCAAGTTACCGGAGTACGTCGAACGCCTAACCGGAGCTTAACGAAGCCAAACGACGGACCGTGTTGTCGTTTCATCATCTCTTCCTGCATCTGAGCTAAGTCCATCTCCGAGAAATCAACCGGCGGCGGATCAAACTTCTCCTCCGTCAATTTCTTCTTCTGTCCCCATTCCTTCCACGCCTCGTCCTCCTCATCGTCCACCACATCATCTAGCTCATCAGGAATGTGAATCCGCGCATTTTTCCCGCCTAATACGCCGCTGTTTCCATAAACAATTAGAATCAGAAGTACGAGTAAGAGGCGAATCCAAGAAGACACCATCTCCATCGCCTTCGCCGTTCTCATGTGATTTGCCATTGATTTCGCTGCCTGCTGTGTGATGATGTTATATGCGTATATGCATATATATATATATATACTGCTACTTCATATTCCCCAACAGCTTTTCAACCTGTAACAATGTTTCCATGCGCACCTTGGCGCATATTAGCACAGGGGTAATTCACACCATATTAGGTGATAGTACATAATTCAATAAGTTAAGAAAAGGATCTTTGCATTTTTTTTATCCGTTGCAATTGAAGTTGGGTTCAATTTTTTCCCCTACGGGAAAGAGAATGAGAAGGGAAGGAAATATGTGTTCTCAGCAGATTAACGGTTGATATTTATTGGATAAAAAGAAAACCGATTCAATTATTCATTGAATGTTCGATTTCGCTAATCAATATGATCTGATTAATATTATATAATCGATTCAATCCAATCCAATGGATAATTGAATCAGTTCGATTTCATCCATTGGATATTTTTATTGGATATCCAACGGATGATCTGATGGGATTTGATTCATACAGTGTGTTAATTCAGTCTAATTTTCAAACAAATTAATTAATCATTTCATACAAAACAAATTTCGATTTAAGCAGTTTGAAAATAAATTAATTGGATGCTAGTTGGATAAAACTTAGATGGATAACTGGATGATACATTGGATGTTGATCGATGAGATTCGGTTTTGGTTGGTTCTGGATTGACATCCGAGAACCGACCGATTCAAATTGAATGTTGGAATTTTCAATCCGATCCGATCCAATTACAATTAGGTATCCAATTATGGTCGGTCGATTATAATTGAATCGGTCAATTCAAATTCGATCGGTTGATGTTCTACACCCCCTGTTTATTATGGTTGGATTCATGTGAGAATTGAAGTTATAATGAGAAAGTTAAGAATGAATCTCCACATTTGAATCAATCATAATTGAAGATTAACACTAACACGGTACATCAAAATGCACTAGATCAATTTCTATGAGAAGCGCAATTCATGGGATGGAGGAGAGATTAAAAGTGATCAAGGGTCTAGATCACTTCTTTTACTTCTCATCTTAACTTTTATTCCTACACGATTTTTCATCTTAACTTTTATTTTAAGTAACTGAAAAATTGGTATCGTATCATGCCAACTTATTTTTAATTACTTGTTAATTAAAACTCAATCATTTTAAGAAAACATATTTTGATTTCTAAATAATTATCATCTTATTTCCAGGTTTGCTAAATATGGATGTATATACAAAAATTGATTGAATTCGTTTGCCTAATCCTAATACTTCTAATAACTGATCCATACCTAAACGGTACATCATCGCTCCTTAATGGCTGCTTGTATCGTATGAAGGTTATCTGTATGCTTGTAAATATAGAGATAAGTAGTACAAATACATATCACCGTAACAACTATGATTTACATGTTGTGATGTATTTGCCAAACAAGATTTAGGGGTTGTTTGTTTGCCTCTTAATCGGTAAGAGGCAGGGGCTGTTTGGCAAAAGAAATTGAACCTCTTAATGGTGACAATTACCTCTTAACCATTTTGCATCTAAGGGGCTGCCTAATGGTTCAGAGCCTTAACTTTCCAGGTTTACCCTTCACCCATCTCCTTCATCATCGTTCCTCCTCTAGCAACCTCTTTGTTGATATTTAGAGAACATTTATCAAACAACCATATTTCATTCAGCACTTAACCATTCTGACCCTCTTAACCATTCTGACCACTTAACCATTCTGCACAAAACCATTCAGCAACTGCCAAACAGCCCCTTAGTATGACCAAACCAAAAGTTGGCTCTAATCGACTCTATCCATATGCAATCGAACACTTTTTTACGTTACCTTGCAAAAAGTTTCAAATCAAGCTAAACATGTGTGACTCGACGTGTACGATATATTTTCAAAACATTTATGTAACTAATTAAATCACTATGCTCATTCTTTTGTCTCAAACAAACAATCATATTCTTACGTACTTTCTAATTAATCTGTATCATTTGTTCAAAATCATTAATTTTATTACAAGTCGTGACACTTTTTGATGATCTATAAGAACGATAGTTGGTTTTCAAACCGAAAAAATCCAATACAGAGTTCAATTGGTCGGTCACAACAAATCATCATCCAATCAATAAAAAAAAATACTTAACCAGCTATTAAGATTCTAAAACACCCCTTAGAAATCAAAACTATTGTTAAAAACCACGTTTGCATATTTTTGGAATACTACTGGGCCGTCTATCAAACACTTAAGCGGTAAGCGCTTACCAGTAAAATTCAACACTATCATTTACTTACCGGGTAAAATTTTAGTTCACAAAAACGACACTGTATGCAACAATTTACCTGGTAAGAGTCATCACTCTCACTTATCGGATAAGACTTTTGTTCTTGCCTTACTCTTACCATGTAAGATTTTTAGTTTTTATCATATTCATCCGGTAAGGTAATATGATTTGGTGTTTAAAACTGGGATAGCTATAATATTAATACGTAACGAATAAATAACACAATCCGACCTTAGCTCAGTTGGTAGAGCGGAGGACTGTAGTTGGTCAATTGCTGATATCCTTAGGTCACTGGTTCGAATCCGGTAGGTCGGATTTTTTTCCAGCTACTTTTTTTTAAAGCTATAATTAAGCCAGAATTTACCCAAAAAAATGGATTTTGTCCACGTTATAAATACTTTCTGTACCATTAATAATAATTTATTATATACTAATTATATTATTCGATTTATTCTACAAAATTGTTTATTATTGGATCATGTAAAAGTGGTTACGAGTATTTTTCGATAGCTATTTTTGGTCAAAAAATACATCGACC